GACAACCGTCGGCCGATGTTCACAGCTTCCTCTCGAGAGTATATGAACCCGACAGTTCACTCCGACGGGCTTTTTCCGGCGAGAAAAATGGCAGCAAGGTCATTTAAGCATCATTTTCATGTCCCGACTTCGAGAACCCGTCGGCCCTCGTTAGGCGCACCGAAATTTAATGGGAGTGTTTTCTAGAAAGTACGAGAAGAGTAGAACCCGTTCGTGGTGTTTATTTTGCAATTCGAGGTCCCGAGCATTTATTTTGAGAAGCTCGAGTTGGAGTGCACAAATTAGAAAAATAAATAAAAAGCCGTTTACGTCCGCCCTGCAAGGTCGCGTGAGATGTCGGTTTGCTGAAAAACGAGTTGGGACGTGCAGACCTTATTGGCACGATGCAATTCGAGCCATTTATTGAGTGTTTCGGAGCTCCGAGCATTTGTTTAGAGGAACCTGAAGTTGATGTATAAATATTAAAAATAAGCGAATTGTCGAGGATGAGTTCGATCGTTCGAGGCTTCATTTTTCTCGATTCTTTCAGTTTCTCGTCTATTCGAGAGGAGGTATAAATCTGGACTATCCTTTTTAATTAATTTCGAGCATAGTTTGAAGGTAAAAATCGGTCATCCCTTTATTCGGATTCTAGTTTCGCCACTGAACTCAACCACCTTACAAACATAAACTTGTGTAAACATTCTAATACAAATTCTTATAACATAATTAGATTATAGATATAATAATCTGCAAACACATACCTCAGAATTATGACATATGATTTCAAGAACATTCTTGTAAGTGTGAGTTTCGGTCGTCCTTTTATATATTGAACAATTCGGAGTTCGATCATTCGCTTGTTTGCCTTTTTTATGTCCTCGATTAGTCTCCATGGTTTTGTCATTTTATTGTGCTGATGAAAAAAACTTTTTGATCGGGTGTTGTATTTACGTGTGTTGTGCGTTTTGTGAAATTCATAATGAAATGAATATAATTTATAGAGATAAAAATTGAGGTTTTGGGAAAGAAAGAGAATCGTAGGATTTTGCTTCTTTGTTCATACTTAAATAAAATGTGTGTATTTGGCAAAAAAAAATAAAATAAAGAAGAATAGGAATATTAATTTGTGGTTTGGTTCATATTTTCCAAGAAATTGTACGTCTAAAAACTTGTACATTTCATATATGATTGGCAGATTGAGGTTTCCAAAATCGTAAGATTTTGAGTTATGTATTTTTGAGATATTGAAGACATGAAAATCAAATAAAATTATTTTAGATACTGTAAAATTATTTTCCGTTAAAAAATCAAGTGTTTTGTCTAAAAAGAATTTAATTTTGTATAAAAGAGATAAATATATCATCTTTAAATATTTAACCAGGAAAAAAAAAATTAATGTGTGTCATGTTTCATGCGACCATTTGGTATAAACAAATTTGATCATTAGAATCGATGCAGAAAAAGGGCACGGATATAAACAAATTTTATCATTATCTTCTTTTTAAAATTGAATATGTTCTAAAAAGACAAATAAATAATGTAAAAGTTCACAATTTTATTGTGTTGTAGAACTGAAAATTATGAAAAATAGTTGATTTGATTGTAAAACTTTATGATATTCAAAATATATAAAAAATATTATAAAAACTGAAGCAGAGAGATCTGATCAAATTTTTTAATAGTTACACATCGCACGGATTTATTTTGTATGAAATATAACTATTAATTGAACCATTAGACTATCTCTTGGCTATTTGTGTAAATTGTGAAAATCATAAATACTTCATTTTTCACACTTACAGAGGAAGATAAAAACACATCTCTTGAGAAAGGAAACTTAAACCAGTTATAAAAATTTTCATTTCATACTCAATCAAATTCAAAATTTAACTCAAACTTTAACTCAATCTCAATATTATCATATTTCTATTACTTTTACATCAAATCTAACTTAATTATTATTTTTAAATATTATTTTAACATAAACTCAAAATACCACTAACAACTACCAATACGACATTTCCCCAATACGACATTTCCCGAAATTATTTCACTCATCTTATTCATGAGATTAAAGAGTTGCCTCCATTGTTTTATTATTGGAAATTTTATCTTTCTTGAGCAAGCAATCTCATGTCTATTCATATTATAAAAAACTATCATCATCAAAATCTGCATCACACCAAAAATAAAACAAAATATAATTAAAATCTACCAACGTACAACAAGCATCACGTCAAAGAAAATCATCTCCGTCTTCAATAGCGCCGCCCACCGGCTGTGGACATGAGAACACGGTTCGTTTTTTTCCCCTTCTTACCCCTTGACTCATTTGCCTCGGGCTTACCTGGTATCTCCACATGCTTTGTTCTTGATGCTACGTTGGCAAAAGAGGCCCCAGTGTCTCTCAAACCTCCTATAAGAGGCAGAACCAAAAATAAAAAAAAATCAGTAAGCAAAAGAAAAAATCGACATTGTCTATCTACTGCACATTTAAAAAATGTATCTACAAGTCCGAAATAATCCTAAAAACCTTGTTGGTGTATAACAGAAGTATCGTGAGGCATATCAATCTTTGGGGCACTTGGGGCTTCATCAGTTCTGAGAGAAGGGGAATCATAGGCAGCAGCAAAACCGAGCCTCGCAACACTTGAAAACGATTGCCTTTCTCCAGCTGTGGGTGCCCAAGAAGATGACGATGATGATGATGATGCAACAGCAGGACTAGTTCCCAAAGCTTTTAGGGCAGGCGAACGTGAATAAGAACACGATTTAGTGAGAGAATTAACAAAGAAGCAAAACATATATTTATGTTAATAAGCAACAATGGCTCCTAAAAACAATGTGTGATGGCATGTGAAAATAATGAATTCCATGATCCATGAACTACTTAACATTCAAAAGTACAAAAGTACAAAGCTACTATTGTCTTACTAGCTCATACTATCATTCAGTGGAAAACTCACCTTCAAAGTCGTCCACAGAGAAGCTAGGGGCAGGATTATATGAGTAACTTGGCACAGGCACAAACTGGCTGTCAGCAACTTCGGCCTTAATTTTTTCCTTAAGTTCCTAATCACACAAAACCAGTTTACACTGCAGGTACTCATGATATTGGAACATAACTTTCATCCGACAACATTAAAATGTTTGTCAATGTTTCAACCTAAGACGGAACAAAATGCAACATAATTTATCACCTTAAGCAGACTTGCCAAACTCAACAAATTGTTTTAGGCTTGTGATATCTCACAGTAATCTACTGCACAAAACGTGTCACTCAACTTCCCAACCTAAGAAGGAATAAAGTACCGTAGGTTTATCACCTCATGGAGACCTTCAAATACTCAATAAGATATTTTACAACTCGTGATATTGGAATACAACAGTCATCCTACTGCATAAAACATGTCACTCAACACCTCAAACTAAGAAAGAATGAAGAATGCAGATTTATCACCTTATGCGGACCTCTAAAACTCAACAAGATTTATTAATCACAAGAGAACGACTTATGCATACAGCTGTCCATAAAGTGGTCTTTTATCTCTCTCTATTAACATATGACCTTCAGAAGTAGAGCGAACAGTTAAAGTTAGCAGTTTTGCGACTTGTTTAAAAGCAATATTCATTGAGGCTGAAACACTTAACTGCATCTCAGAATCCAAGAAAAATATGAAGTCAAGAGTCAAATGCTAAGGCAAGATACACTAGCTCTGTACCAAAAGAAGGCGGCAATTGTAGGCATATATAAAGAATGTTTTCCAACAAACACCACCACCAGAAAGATTCGAAGTAGTGAAACCACACCTTTCTAGCAAGTTTCTTTCTTTGCTTGTCTCTGTTCTTAATTTCATCCATAAATGGAGAAAGGGATTCAGCTGGCAATTTATCACGCAAATCGATCTCACAAAGCTGCAAAAGCACATATAAGCGACTGAAGCTACAAGACGATGTTTGATAGAAACATATTGAAATATTTCTTACTAGTGATCACCTGAAATGTTGTTGTCAAGGATAAATGACTTAAGAAGCGATAGCGCCGTCTGATGGCCTCTGATTGTGTCGCTGTCTCTAACTGTAAGATCTTTCCAGTGATTCTGGAATATTAGTTCTTATCAGACCGACACGCTCTAGGTACAAATGCATTAAAATTTCAATTTATGACTAGATAAATTCTAATTTTAAAAATATTTCCAGAAACTACGGACCTGGCTATAGCAGAACACCAATTTCAAGGGTTCGTAGCAGATAGCTTAGAAATTAATAGAACACTGGCATCCCTACTGCTCTACTAACAAAGAAAGGTGATTCCTTTTTCTATTATACTTTACTCTAGTTTTAGAGAAAAATCAAACAAGGAACGGAAGAAATAGTCCTGCTACCTGTTAGGAAGATTTTCATAACTGCCATAATGGTGTAGAAGGCACTTCATGCTTAATGGATGAAGAATTAGGTGCTGGCCATCAATGGCCTAGAAATGTTCAAATAACAAAAGATCAATGCATTACAAAATCAACTAGAACAGTTAGCCAGATCCCAAGCTCACATCAAGAAGCTCAATTTAAATAAGATTTTGAAGAGTCTCTTTGCAGTCCAGGGGGAACAAGAAAAAAAGATAAATAAAAATTTTAAAAATAGAAAAAAAAAAACAACAACAAATAATGTGTATGGGATCAATGACCTGGTAGAAATTATATGAATCCCCCTCTTTCCTCTCCTGGATGCCAATAGAAACGGCCTGCGAATTTTTATTATCATCAGCTGAAGAAGACGAAGATCTTTCATGATCTTCAAACATTTCATTGAACTCTGCAACTTGAGGCAAACAGAACTCAGAAACCATCTTTCCTGGAGATGATTTTTCACAATAATCTGAATTGTTATATTTAGCAGTTGGTGGAGAGCCACAAAGACTTGCACTTTCCTTGTCACCAATAGAAGTCCTTTGTCCTTTCCAATATTTCTTCCTCCTCTCCAGCTGCTCAATAGCAGCACAAACATATGGAAGCTTTTCAATGTCATCAACTAGGCCCGAATTGGCTCTGGCTATCCAACTGTCCAAATCCGACATTGCCTCTCTAACAGATAGGTCAACATCCGAAATCAAGGTGAACTTCGAGAAAGAGTCCAGAAGCTCATCCTCAACGTTAATGCTCTCGTTGATTCTAAAAGAAGAACGGAAAGAACCTTTCTGACGCGTTAATAGGACAAACTCTATTTCATCTCCTATGTGATATTGCTTCACGTTCTCAATGCGGATTGTGTACAAATCTTTAGAAGAAATCATCGCAAAGCAAAGAGGGCATTTTTTCCAGCATTCATCTTTAAGATCCGCTCCACCTACTGAAAAGTATTGCAAAATGCATGGGAAGCAGAAGATGTGGCCGCACGAGGTTATTTGCGGACATAAGGGATCATCTAAGCAAATGGGACAATGGACTGGAAAAGGAGTGGAGTACTTAAAGCAGATAATATCTTCCCAACATAACATCTTATCTGGATCCAAAGACTCGACATCATAGTTCTTAGAATCTAGCACCACAAACCTGTAGTTTGCTTGTAAGAATAATTCCTTATTATAAGGTTTCCTCTTTTGATATCTTCGTGGAGGAGGAGCCCTGGGCTGTGGGCGTGAGATATGTATAGGATTGTAATGAAAGTTTAACAAGTGGTTGGCATTAAGCATCTGCGCTTTCTTCCCAGCTGAATGTCCGGAGCTATTCTGGGAACCAGAAGTTTTTCCTTGCCACTTTGAGGCTCCAATTGGCCCATGAGCAGCAGCATCGGGATGCAATAATTTTTTGCCTCCATTTTGCTGAATTGGACTTATGTCACTGTTGTGTCTCTCCTCTCCTTTCACCTAAATGACAGATATAAAGAAGTTTTTCAGATAAACTGGCCATATTGTGAAACAGTCAAAATGAACTTTCTTTCGTTTACAATCTGCCAGGCAGACCACATCAACATTACCTCTTTGGAAGATCCTCCTGAATCGTAGGTGGCAAGAGACACTTGTCCTGGAAAAAAGCATTGTAATTGAAGATACCAAACAAAATGAAATGCCGCACAGATTTGAGTAACTTGACACACTTGGTTCAAATGAGTCCTTACTCATACTTGCTGAAAAATAGCACATGATAGTATATGAACTTCAGTTTGGACATTAAAGACTTGTTGGGATATATTTTCTCACGAAACAAACTAATCTTGAACATCATTACTCATTGGTTAGTTCAAGAAAACGTGTTTCACGCAAGAGTGTGATGGGAGGACCAGATGGTGAATAATGTTATTCATATTAAGGTAACAAATAGCGTGAAAGCAAAGCTCAATTCTTTCAACAGATTAAACCCCAACAACCTTGGAACACTATAATAGAAATAAGACTTGAGACATTTCTTTGCAGAAAGAACCTAAAACTTGATCAAGATAGGATCATTAACGCCGATCCAAAACGGCATAACGAAAAATAAACAAAGCTCAAATTAATACCTGATGGAGGACGAGCTTCCGGCGGCGGCGCGGAATCAGAGATTTGGGGGTTTGAGTGGGATTGATCGGAAGAGGAGCAGAAGCCATGGCCGGAAGGAGAAGATTGAGACGATGAGCGAGAGGAGGACGACGCTGTACCAAGATTACGTGAGGGCAAGATGGACATGAAATTCTGGTTTAGATTTGCTGCGTGTTTTTTGCTTAGCTTTGCGGGTTTCCCCTATGGCGTTGGATTCTGATTCTATATTTTCTGCCCCAATATCATTTCAAGCACCATTAACATAGGCCGACGACGCGGCTAAAGGTGGCTACTGGGCCGGTTGGCCCGCTAAACCGTCGGGTTTAGTCCGTTGACCGGCTGCTTGTGCAATTTTTTATGATCTTTTATATGTATGTTACAATTTTTTTTTCAAATGCAAAGAATTACGACGTTTCAAATAAAATCATACATAAATTATTTATAAAACGAGTAATAAATAAAAATAAAATACAATTTAAAAGTCATTGAAAAAAATTAAATCACAAATCAATCATTAGTGAAAATTAGTATATTTGTAATTAAAAAATAAAGCTTTTTAACGTAATTTTTTTTTAAAAAAGATTTATAGTTAAATCTAGCTATTGAATCTTGGAGTTGCTATAAAATAATATAAAAAAAGAACACACCTTAAGATACTGGCTCTTTACCATTACCGATTGATCACATTTGTCTTGTGTTGATCAAGTTCGTTCGTTATGTATTGAATCTAAGTAATGTTCGTTCGTTAGAAGAATAAAGGGTAAATTGCACCAAACCCCCCTGTGTTTATGTAAATATGCGCGTTTTCCCCCTGTGTTTGAAAAACTGCACCATACCCCCTTAGGTTTTAATGTCGACGGATCACGCTCCCCATACCCCAAACACCGTTAATAATTTTGTAAAATCCCCGTTATGCCCCTCGTATTAGAACCGTCACACAACACTCTGGTCTCACAGCACTCTCTCACAACACAGCATGAAAAAATCAGAAAGAACACACACTCGATCCAATTGAAGGAAATTCGAACAAATTTGCTAAATCATTTCAATCTCAGGTCGACGAGGAACTGCTTTCAATCTTAGGTCGATGGCGACTTCTGAATAGCTTTCAATATGGTCGAAGAAGAAATAATGCATTAGTTTTAGTCCACGGCAAATTAGGGTTCCCGCAAAGCGATTTCGTCTAAGGTATTTTGACATGTACTTTCTTACTGGCTTTTACTATATTGTTTATTTATGGTTAAACCTTGAAAGCTTGTTTGTTGAATGCCTATATGATATACGAGATTAGGGTTGTAGTCTTTGTATGTCATAGAAATTAGGGTTGTTTTCCACGACAAATTAGGGTTATTTATGTCCTTATGTAAAATGCAAATGTGCCAGGAAATATAGTTTGTTTTGATAGTATTATCCTGTTGTGCCAGCAAATGTTCCCTTCCCCTTCTTCTGAAATCAAACAAAGCTTGTTTGTTGAATGCCTATATGACCTTAGGGTTTGTAGTTTATTTTGCTAAAGGTCCTTATGTGAAATTCAACTAAGCCAGTATAAATAGTTTGTTGTGGTTCCCTTCTTCTGATATCATGTGTATATGTTTTTAATTGTACATCTTGTGGTCCCTTCTTTAAGGCAACAATTCAATTGAACCAACAATATATAGTGTGCATTTTTATTTGTATACAATGTGGTCGCTTTTGTTTATATTCTCCATTGCATTAACCAATTAAATTGATCATGTTATTATTGTTTTTATGTATGATGGCTGTCTGCTTTGATGTTAGAGTTGGAGGAGTAGTAAAATGGGAGCCTTTTCTTCAATATTTTGGGGGGCAGAAAGTTGCAGTTCAATGGGATGATGTGGACAAGTTATCTATATTTGAAATCATGGATATCTACAAGACAGCTGGTGGAAAATCATCAGTTGTGGAAGTTTTCTCACATAAGCCTGGGGTGACCCTAAAGACAGCAAAGAAGAGGATTAAGATAGACTCTGATAAAGATATCCTTAAGTTGGTGAAGAAGTATCAAGGGGTTTATGTGATTCCACTATACTTTGAGGATTTACAGGGACCTGTACAACAGATGGACACTGATGGGAACCTCATGCCTTCACAAGAAGAGATACCTCTTCTTGAGTATCCCTATACTCAAGAGAGCTTTATAGATGAGGCTGATGAGGAAACTACAGAAGCCATACCAGAACCAAGCTATATGGGTGAACCTGAAGGGCAGAAAGATGATCTACCTTTTGAAGATGGAGCACAACATGAGTTTGAAGCACAACAGGGTGGATCACATGGTGGCCAACAACATGAGATGCCTCATGAGTTTGAAGCACAACAGGGTGGATCACATGGTAGCCAAGAACAGGAGATACCTTATGAGACTGCACCACAGGGAGAATCTGGATCACATGATGAGGATGAAGGACACCAAACTGAGGATGATTCAGAGGATGAAATGTATGTACCTGGCCAAAGTAGTGAGGACATGTCATCTGAATTGTCTGAATGGGAGTTAGAAGATCTAGAAGGCCCTGAAGATGATGATATATTCCAGCAGAGGGATCCTGGTCATGCTAAGAAAGTTCACAAGATGGCTAAAGAATGGATGAAACAGAGAAGAAAGAAGAAAAAAATAGCAAGAGAAGAAGCTGAAAAGAAGACAAAGTCTAATGAATCAGATTGGTACAGTGATATTGAGGATGATGATGAGAAGTTGTTTCACATGGATGATGAATGGAATGATGGCATGAGTATGACAAAGTTTGAGCTAAAGGTTGGTCTGAAATTTCCAAACAGAAGCAAATTCAAGGAGGTTCTTAGAGACTGGTCTGTCAGAAAGGGTTATGATTCGCAATATCCCAAGAATGAAGCTAAGCTCATCACAGCAAAGTGTAAAAGTGGTTGTGACTGGTATTTGAGGGCCTCAGTCATATCTGACATGGCAAAATTTCAGATCAAGACCCTGAAAGGCACACATTCATGTGCTTACAGGACAGAAAACAAACAGGCAGATTACAAGTACCTAGGGAGAAGGATGATTGAAACATTGAGAGACAATCCTGCTGAGCCACTCCAAAGTCTGAAAAACAAAATTAAGAGAGATTGTGGGGTTGATATAAGTATTCACAAGGTGTACAGAGTTAGAACTTATGGTTTGTCATTGTTGAAGGCTGACATTGGGGAGCAATTTAGGAGACTGTATGACTACTGTTCCACTGTAGCCAAGTACAATCCTGGTAGCACCCTTATCCTAAAACTGAACCATGATTTTACACCTCCAAAGTTTGTCAGAATGTATGTTTGCTTTGGTGCAATGAGGCAGGCCTTTGTGACTGGATGCAGGCCCATTATAGGGCTTGATGGATGTTTTTTGAAGACTCTACATGGTGGTCAACTACTATCAGCTATTGGCAGAGATGGCAATGACAACATGTTGCCTATTGCAATGGCCTATGTGGAAGTTGAGAAGATGGACTCATGGAATTGGTTCATTCAAAGGCTGTTAAGAGATATTGATCCATACCGAGAGAAGAACTGGACCTTTGTTTCAGATAGACAGAAAGGCTTGCTTGATGCTGTTGGTCAAATCAAAGGGGCAGAACACAGGTATTGCTTAAAGCACATGTACAACAATTTCAAGCAGAAATGGGTTGATTTGGAATTAAGAAAGTGGTTTTGGAAGGCAGCCAGCACATACAATGTGAGAGAACACATTAGATGTATGAAAGAAATCCACAGGCTTGTCCCAAAGAAAGATAGAAAGGTTACTCCATTTGAGTGGCTTAAGGCTATCCCTGAAGAACACTGGGCAAGATGTTTCTTCACTTCCAATGCAATGTGTGATGTTATTGTGAATAATCTGTCAGAGTCCTTCAACAGTTACATCTTAGAAGCTAGGTATATGCCTATCATAGACATGTTTGAGTGGATAAGGAGAAGAATGATGGCAAGGATGCAGGTGAAGAGAGTTGGTATTGAAAAATATGCAGAGGATATATGCCCAAACACAGTGAGAAAAATTGAAGAGCAAAAGATGTTGAGCAGAAACTGTTACCCAACTTGGGGTGGAGAAGATAAATATGAGGTGGTGCATGGGGTTCAGAGTCATGTTGTGCAATTGAATGCTAGAAGTTGTACCTGTGGCATGTTTCAGTTGGTTGGCTATCCTTGTTGCCATGCACTAGCATGCATCTCATATCACATGTTTAATCTTTCTGACTATGTGTCTGATTTTTTCAAAAAAGAAATATATGTGAGGGTGTATAGCAATATGATCAACCCTGTTCCAGGGATGAATGACTTTGAGGAGTCTAGAATGGGCCCAATTCAGCCATCTGATCCTGTGAAAAAAAGAGGTAGGCCAACAAAGAAAATGAGGGCTGATGGTAATGACATGAGTACTATGGGAGGAAGTGTGAGCAGAAAGGGTCATCTTAAGATATGCAAATTGTGTGGGGGGAAAAATCACAATAAAAGGAGCTGCATCAAAAGGGCTAGGGAAAATTCTGGTGCTTCTGGACAGGTATATTCTTATTTTCATCATGTTATGCATTAAACTTCACAAAATTTCATGTTAATTGTTTTGTACATTCATGACATTTGCAGCAACATCCATCTCAGCCTACTGGTCCTGTTGAAGGTTTTTTCCACAACACTGGCCCTCAAAGATCTACTCAGTAAGGCTTTTTCCTGTGGTCCTGTTGAAATGGCCTTCCATTGCTTGTTTGTTTGGTCATGAGGCCATTGTTGGTAAATTATTTTGTGTAAGTTGGATGTGGTATGTTGGTACAATTTGACCAGTATTTTGGATATGCTATTAGGATTTGGTTGCTGTTGTTTTGTTATGTTGGTATGCATGTTGCAACAACTCTGTTTTGGTTGAGATTTATAATATGTTGGTATTTATGCTGCTATAAGTCTGTTTTGGATTATGTTGTTTATTTCTGTTTTGGAATTTATGTTGCTATAAGTCTGTTTTTGGCATGTGTTGCTTATTTCTGTTTTGACATTTATGTGGCTATAAGTCTATTGCTATAAGTCTGTTTTGGCATATGTTGTTTATTTCTGTTTTGGCATATGTGTTTTAGCATATGTTGTTGGCCAATTGAGCAGGTTTTCATGCATTCATTGTAATCTTGAGTTTCATGCAAAATATAGGCTTACATTATCAAGCATTACATTTTACAATTACTTGAGAATGATAACAACTACAAGGATTACAATAACCAAAAACATCACTCCATTGTTAATTTTTTTTTCAAATTTCTCCATCCTTGAATGCATCTCTTTCACCATTGATGTGACTTCAGCATTTTCATTTGCTAAATTTGCTGCAGTTGATTCAACTTCATCATCATCTTCATCATAATCTTCATTTTCATGAGCACACGGCTTCACCCAATTCACTGTCGTAGGTTTAAACCAAGCAAAAAAGTCACATTTGTTGTACGGACAATTGCAAAATAGCTTTCCAATCGTTCTTTTTGTAGGACCAACTACTCTGATTTGTGCAAACACATTGCATTTACACTTTAGATACCGGTATCGTAAATCCAAACTGTCAATCTTCTCCATCTTCGATTTTTGGGACATTTTCAATCTTTCTTTGTCTTTGAATCTGGGAAAAAAAGGAAGGATAGAGGAAGAAATTAAGGCTGAAAATATTTGAATTTGAAAGCTGGAAAAAAAAAAATCAAAGCTGCGAAAAAAAAAAATTGAAAGCTGTGAAAAAAATACCTTTTTTGTGCTCCAAATTCTCTCTCCAGCAGGTGTGTAAAAAAGGGTTTAATGCACCAAACCCCCTTGTATTATACGAAATCTGCGCGTTTCCCCCCTGTATTTTAAAAATTGCGTCAGACCCCCTTCTATTAAGGTTTTGTATGCGCGAAACACCCAAAATATAGTACAAAACCTTAATAGAAGGGGGTCTGACGCAATTTTTAAAATACAGGGGGGAAACGCGCAGATTTCGTATAATACAAGGGTGGTCTTGTATATTTTACCCGTGTAAAAAATGGTGTGGAAGAAGAACATGAGAGGTGGGCTATTTAAAGACCCTTACTAAGGGTAAAAAGGTCTTTTTGACACAATAACGGTAAAAAAATATCCATACACTTGCTCATTCAGCGCGTTTTATACACACGCGTCAACTCAAACGGTCGGGGGGATTTCGCGCAAACGGAAGTAAAACCTAAGGGGGTATGGTGCAGTTTTTAAAACACAGGGGAAAAACGCGCATATTTACATAAACACAGGGGAAAAACGCGCATATTTACCCGAAGAATAAACATTTTGAAGATGTATTTAGTGCGGTAACAAAAATATAATGGATTTGGAGGTCCAGGAATCAATGGGTGTTCCAGCAGTGCAAAAGGCCAACTAAATACATAGTAGATAGTGCTCTTAATGACTGGCTTGAGTTCATGGACAAAGGCTAAACTTGTAGAGGTCAACTAGGTGCTTTGAGGCTCAATGGTTGCCCTCTAAGACTAATCCTTTGCAGATGAACTGAAGTTATGGTTGATAGCTGATCCTTCTATATGGTCTCTTGGTTGTTGGTTGTCAGCAGCTTAGTTAATATTAGTGGATATTGTATCTGTTTATTAGCTTATGTTGTTTTAGTTAGCTTTTGTTTTGGCAGTGGCTGTAGACTTATGTTAGTTGATGGTTGTATAGAGCAGTGTTCTGTAGCTTAGTCTCTGTTGCTCTATGTTGTCTTTGTAGTAATTTAGGACACCTTGTGGGTGATCCTCTCGGTTATGGCTAATTAGCCATCGAACTCTGTACATTTATTCTAGTTATTCAGTCTATCGTTTCGTTAAAAAAGAAAATTATTATTATTATTTTTCAGACAACAAGTGATAATTTGGGAACAAATAGCAATGCCCATGATTTTTCCACCTCTCTGAAGTCCAATTCACACATGGTCCGACCCACATTACCTTAGGTTTCATTTCATACGCTCTCGCACCGGTCTCCTCCAATATATAAGCCTCAGATGTCATTTCACCATTAGTCTTCGCCTCGCGTTTTGATTCCTTCCGTTGTGGAGAGTAGAGCTGCGGATCTCAGAGAGCTGAATTTGGGTGAAACCCGTCTCAATCGCCGCCGATCTCTCAGGCCGCTCCTTCTTTTCCGACGAGAATATTCCCTCGCCATGGCGTTCTCCTCTGACCGGCAGTCTCTGATTCCCAGCTTCATTTATTCCACCTCTTTCGCTTCCAAAACCCTAGCCCTCGACAGAGCTGCTGGGAGTTCCAACACTGGACTCGAGCCGTCGCCCCCCAAAAAGAGCTTCATGATTCCCGCTCCTAGTGAGCCAGGCAAGATCGAGATGTACTCCCCGCAATTCTACGCAGCTTGTACGGCCGGTGGAATACTGAGCTGCGGTCTTACTCATATGGCTGTCACCCCTCTTGATCTCGTCAAATGTAATATGCAGGTCTGGATCTGTTTACGTCCACTTTATTTTCAAATGCTGCAATTCATGTGCTTCCTCTAATAGATCTTGCCTATTTTGTAATATTGATGAGTTGCCCCTGCATAAGATCTTTCCGTCCTTCCTTTGTTATTTCCTGTATGGACATCAAAATATGTGTCTTTCTTATGTAACGCGAGATCTTAGGATATGAATCAGAGGTTCCATAATTAGTCCAAGCTAGTGTATGATTTGTCGCCATGGATGGCTAGATCATGTTTTGATAATGCTTTTATGTTGTTGTTTAGATGACAGTTATAATTAAGTTTATATTTATTATGTAAATTGTGGGCTTGGGATTTCTTCTTCTTCTTCTTCTTCTTATGTGGGAATTTTCACTGTGGATTTCAAAATCATCAATCCAGATTGAGCCCTGTATTTTATTTATAAACTCCTTTTGACTTCTGTGTTGGAGTGATGGAGGGAAGGCACTCCATATTCTTCTGGATTTCTGCTTAATTGTGTGATTTACAAGTATGTTGTATACTTGTTTCCTGTCACTGTACCTAATGAAGAACTGATCTTTGTGTCAAATGCTTTCCAATAATTACATAGTTATGTGCTCTTCAAAATTTATTTTCTTGCTTCTATTCATTTCTGCAATCTGAAAGAATTGTTGAATTGCCTTGAATTATATTTAATGGACAGCTAATGAATTTAGCGAGTCATTGTAATGTGCTGTATTGTGATGTCACTATTGGCCCTCCAAGAACTGGATCCAGGTTCTTTGTACATATCTGGAGGTTCTGGTGACTGAGTTAACCCACTCTCATTTGCATTTCTTCAGATTGACCCTGCAAAGTACAAGAGCATCTCGTCAGGTTTTGGAGTTTTATTGAAGGAGCAGGGAGTAAGAGGTTTCTTCAGGGGATGGGTGCCTACCCTGCTTGGGTACAGTGCCCAGGGCGCCTGCAAGTTTGGATTCTATGAATTCTTTAAGAAGTACTACTCAGACCTTGCTGGACCAGAATATGCATCTAAATACAAGACTTTGATCTATCTTGCTGGTTCTGCTTCTGCGGAAGTGATTGCTGATGTCGCCCTTTGCCCCCTTGAAGCTGTGAAGGTTAGAGTCCAGACTCAGCCTGGCTTTGCTAGAGGGTTGTCTGATGGACTTCCCAAGTTTGTGAGATCTGAAGGTGCTCTTGGGTACGCATACATTCATTCTGATCTGTTTATGATTAAATCTAAGTGCAGTGCTATCAAATGGCGGCCATGGCATGACATGGTGGATTTTTTACAATCTTCCATTCAAGATTTGTGAAGGATAGCGGTCATGGCGGCCTCTTGGGCTGAATTTTGACAAACCGCCATGTACCGCCATCTGCCATTAATAACACTGGCTGAAGGCAGGTTCTTCATGATAGACATGATTTGTAACTGTTTGCAGGTTGTACAAGGGCCTGGTTCCACTTTGGGGGCGCCAGATTCCATGTAAGTCGTGAGCTGCTAGGTTTTCATAGCTCCCGTTTGTTCCATATTTGAACCATTTGAATTCCATGCATGGAAACATATCTCTGATTTGCTGTATTATGTCAATGCTGGAGTTTGTTTTTATCTATACTAGAAAACAGAATTGCTATGCTTAGAAGACCAGCTTTTCAGAAATTATATCAATTTTGTTGTTGGTCGCAAATACTTATGTAACGAAATTGGTGTTAATTAGCTGGATACTGCTTACTTTGTCAGATTCTATTGCTATCTCTCAACTGAAAACACTGAATTATGGTTTTGTTTGTCTGTACACGGAATCTTGATCGATGTCATATGTGAAAGCAATGATCGGTTTAGGTTCAAGTTAATTTAACTGATTTTGATGTAGTTGACAGAGGTATCAATTTAGTGGATATATTGCATGGCGCCATCTCAGGAATATCAGAAAAAGGGTAGTTCATAAAAGATAGTTTGGTGTATTGTGACAAAGCAATATTTATTTCTCTTTGGACTAGGTGGCGGCTTAATGTTGTGTCATTGCATAATTTCAAGTTTTTGGTGGTTCATGTATTGTGCTACTTTATTTAAAAATCATGGAATGAGTTGAATGCTTTCTCCACAGAATTAGCTGGCTGATGGAGGGGCCAAGCTTCTTTGTTTTCCTAATGCTCTAAATTTATATTACAACCATGTACGTTAACTGCAGATACGATGATGAAGTTTGCGTCTTTTGAGACTATTGTCGAGCTTATCTACAAGCATGCAATCCCCACACCCAAGAATGACTGCAGCAAATCCCTGCAGCTTGGTGTGAGTTTTGCTGGTGGCTATGTAGCTGGCGTTCTGTGTGCTGTTGTGTCTCATCCGGCTGATAACCTCGTCTCTTTCCTCAACAATGCCAAGGGTGCTACTGTTGGTGATGTGAGTGTTTTCTGCATGTAGTTCAATTCTAATTCCTTGATACCCTCTTTTTTTGACTTTAATTTACGCCTTCTTGGTACTTTTACTCTCACAGGCCGTAAAGAAGCTTGGATTGTGGGGATTGTTTACCCGTGGACTTCCTCTTCGTATTGTCATGATTGGAACCCTCACTGGGGCTCAGTGGGGTATCTATGACGCTTTCAAAGTTTTTGTTGGGCTGTAAGTTTATTTACCTCGCTCAACTATTAGGGAATAATGTTTTGCAAATAGACATGTAGTTTTCTAAGAACCTAAATTGGCTATCTTTTATCGTATTTCCAGGCCGACAACTGGTGGTGCTGCTCCAGCACCGGCTGCCACAGAACTGGCGAAGGCGTAGAGTTAGTGGAAATATTGATGGAGTACAAATTTCGAGATAGCCCGCTTCTTCAAAGGGGCAATAAAATTTATATTACATTTGAGTTTTGCTAGCACCTGGCAGGTGGAGGAGGGTATGCAAATATTATTTTATGATTTTTATATACTCTGCTGATTTGGTATTTTGGAGGTCCAATCTTCCAGCATACTTCCAACTGTCATGTTATTTTTGTTGAACTAGCTATAATGTTATGAAGGGTTGTGAAAGACCTCCCAAATCATGAAAATAATAGGCAGTTGCAAAAACATTAGCACTGTTGAGTCATTTTGTTCCTGAGATATTTTTAGAAGGTGGGCGAGGATTAATTTCTCGCAAACATTGAGGATGTAGGAGTTATGCTTATTTCGTTCTCCTTGCTCATGCTGCTTGGTGGTTTCATATATTTTTGTTTTGGTGATGTCAGTTTATTACTGCAATGTGCTTCTATAATATTCAATAGTTTATTGAATTGCTGTTTAATGGCTGATAATGTTATTGATGATTACTTGTTAAGGTTATTTTTAATCCTCGAAGGGAGTATGGTCATTTTTATATAAAAATTGGTAAAATGAATAGCTGAACCATTTTTGTTGTGCTTGTGGAAATNCTCACCTTGTTTGAGGTGTTAGTCCGGTTGTGCAACCTTGTACTGAACCTCCTCTCATTTTCTTATTGTTATTCGATTTGAAAAAAAAAAAAAGTATTTATATATGGATTTTGACTTTAAAAGTCTATTTATAAAAGCGAGTGTTAGGTGAAAATTTTTAATTGGATTTTATAATTTAACCATTGAAAATATCATTTTGAAGAAGTCGTAGTTGGATATTTTGAGAAGTCGCTAGTCAAAGTTTAATTTGTAAGTAGATTTTTAAGAAATCCACCCACGCGGGTATAATATATTTGCGAGTGAATTAAGACATTCACAATTCACAAACAAAAGAAGGTCGACAATTGTAATCTTCTCCGTCGGTGGTTTTCTTTATTAGTAAAGTCTATTAATAATTAATAATCATAAATAGTTTGGAACTAACCCATAGTATTATAAACTTTTTCTGATAATAGGAAAATGATGATTTATACTTGAGTGTGTTAAATTTGGGCTAATAAGATTGATACTTTTGTTAATTTTTGGGATAATAAGATTATGTATGATAATTTATCCTGTTGGAGTTTGTGTTAATTTTTGGGCTAATAGGATTATGTAAGTACATTGTACCTAGATAACAAGAAATTTGTATTAGTTTTTGGGCTAATAGGATCATGTAAGTTCATTGTACCTAAGATAATAGAGTCATCACGGAGGACATAAATGCAGATCTAGTGGCACAAGTGAACACTGATGAAATTACGGAGGCTCTCTTAGCATAAACCCTCACAAGGCCTCGGGGCCAGATGGTTTGACTTCTTTGTTCATTCTTTCTGGTCTATGATTGCTCAGGATCTTTGCTCTACAGTTTTGAGCTTCTTTGACTCTGGTTTGATTCTGAAAAGTTTAAATCACTCCTTGATTACTTTGATTCCCAAATGCTTCAATCTTTCCCTGGTTTCTCAATATAGGCCAATCAATATTTACAATGTCATTTATAAAGTGATTTCTAAAATTCTTGCAAATAGATTAAATTCTTGCCTTCCATTTGTATTTGTGCAAATTAGACACTCTTTATGCTTAGTAGACATATCCTCCACAATGTAATAATTGCAAATGAGGCTATTCACTTTCTGAAAAGTCATAGATCTGGGAAAAATTATTTTCTGGACATTATATGGGATATGAGTAAGGCCTTTGATCGGGTAGAATGGGACAATGTGAGATTAATTATGCTTAAATTGGGCTTTAATTCCTTATTTGTGATGTGGATTATGCAATGTATTTCTTCTTCTTTCTTTTCCTTTAATGTGAATGGTGAAGATGTTGGTTATCGTAACCCCACCAGAGGCATAAGGCACGGTGATCCCTTATCATCATACCTTTTCATTCCGATTTCTGATATTTTAACCCATCTGATAAAAACTGAGTTGTCAAAAGGTAATTTGCAGGGAATTAAGCTGAGTAAGAACTGCCCAACTCTCACACACCTCTTTTTTACAGATGACACCATGTTATTTGCTAAAGCACACCCTCATCAAGCCAATACCCTACACATCCTCAATACCTATCAAACCATCTTAGGACAAAAAGTCAATCTAGTAAAATCCTCCATTTTTTTCAGCAAGAATACCCCTCAAGCCCTCCAAAACCAATTTTGTAGTATTATGTTAGGTATCTCCCCTCACTCAGCCTCAGAATACCTTGGTCTGCCCCTTGGCATTGGCAAGTCAGAGAATGCCACATTCTCTTATGTGGAGGATTCTATTAGAAAAAAAATTTCAAACTTGAAAAATTGATATCTTTCTTTTGCAGGTAAAGAAGTGCTTTTGAAGGTTGTTCTTAGTGCAATGCTCACATACACCATGTCATGTTTTCTCTTACCTTAGTCCGTGACTAAGAAAATCTCAGCTGAATTGTCTCTCGCGCTCTACCAATTTTCTAGAATGCAACTGCAACTCTTATTCCAAAGTTTTCCATATCAACTGATGCCTTTTCTTCCCAGCCAAGCCTCTGAACAACAATCTCAGTATATGTGGTCAATGGCATCCCAATATAATATGTCAAACTCATTTGGCATGCCTTTTCAACAAAGTAGTTTCATGCCAACAACGATGAGTTCAGGCTCACAAGATGCTGTAAGAGCTAGTACTGGACTAGAGGTTGAAGTCCTTAACCACATTTATCTTAAAAAAGATATAGAAAAATAAGCAAGCTGAGCCAAAGAGAGGTGAGAAATCGTCTGCAAAATCATGGACACAAGACAGGGACTGTTGCTTTGTCGAGCTTTCTACACTATCTCGTGTGATCCGATTATTAGGGCTCAACAGAGTTCAGGTGGCTTTTGGAGGCGAATCACCCAATACTACAATGGGAATGTTCAAGCTCATAATTTTATTGAAAGATCTATGGAGTTGGCCAAATCTCATTTTATGCTTTTCACGGAGATTGTTTAAAATTCAATACATCAATAAATAGGTTCCGAGCTGACCAAAATTATAATTTATATTTTCCTTAACCAACTTCTACCAACTAGTAGTAGTAGTGAGCAAGGGTCGATCCCACAGGGAATGTGAATCAAATCGTGAATTTTCTCGTATTAACTGAATTTATAAAAAGCAATAAAAAGGGGGGGATTGTGATTTAATAGCTAAACTAACTAATGAAATAAATAAAATCTAAATAAGAAAATAATAATAAAATAAAATAAATTAAGAGAAATATCTAGTTCACGGTTCCGTCTACACCCTCAACCGATTTGTCTAATCAACTTTGGTATCAAATCTCGCTATCTTATGAAATTACTGGCCCTAGGCAACGACACGGTCAGTTACCCGAATTTTTCCTTATTTTTAATTTAACCGCGAGACGCTCTACGATTAAACCTGACTTCTTGTACAGTCTAGAAAAACGTTTTCAAGATTTAATACAATTAGTCGCTTTACGATTTAGAAAAATAGGCTAGACTAATTAGTGAACTCAACCGCGTTCGTTCACTTAATTAGGCCGTGTTATCCCCGGTAGTTACCATCTTCCGGTTACCTCTTATGAATTAAACACAACAACAATTACGGATTGCAGGCCTAATTCAGATGTAGATATGAAAAGCCTAATCTAGGTGATCAATCTAAACAAGACTAACACATCATGGTGAATTATTCAAAATAACACAAGCAATTCCAAAAAGACAACTCAATAATCAACCATGAAAATTAATCAAACATCGTCAAATCATAGGGTTCAACATCACCGGAACTAGAAATAAACTAGCCTAACATAATAATAAAAATAAAAGAAAGAGAATAAGAATTTCCCCTTCGTGTGTAGGTGCGGCCTCCCTCCGCTATTAATCGGGTTCACCGTCTTCAAGCTCTGTTCGTGCGGCTTTCTTTTCTGCTTTTTCCCTTCCTCTCTTGCAGCTCCCAAAACTTGCGTCAATATATGGTGGCTATTGCGTGGGCCATTTTATTAAATAAAGATTGGTGGCTAACAAATATTTTATTTCCTTCCTTCAACTTTCGGCCAATGCCAATAATAGGTCTCCAACAAATTTAGCCAAATTCTCAATCTTGCAAATAAATCCTAAGAGTGGCGTGAGTGCTCCGCAAGTGATTCCTCCCAGCCAATAACTATCAGCCCAAATTAATAATTAAGGCTCTTGAATTTTCTCCAACAAATAATTCCAAAGTGCCCAATTAAGTCCAAGTGATTAACATGTCTTCTAAAGTCACGGCCCATATCTCTTTTCACGGCAACATCATTTTCGTGGGCTTAATTATGGAGGTTTCGATAACTGCTTGAATGAACTTCCGTACAATATTTTGCGTCCAACAAATACTCCAATAAGCTGAAAATAAATATAAAATAGTCAAAGCAAATAAATCCATCTAAATAATAAATAAGTCGAAGAATATAAATGTGCGATTAAATTTAGCATATAAAAATACGCTAATAAATATATAATATACATATTTTTTCCGACCAATCAGGAAAATGATGTTATTGTGTTGCAACATGCATTAATGGAGTGGAATAGTGATGATAAGAGAAGAAGCCTTCAAATGGCTCCACTGTTGGGAAATTCTAAAAAATAGTCCTAACTTTCAAGGGTCATCAACGACAAGTCGAGGAGGAAAGAGGTCTAGAATGCCTTAATCCGAAGATCACACTTCTGGATCTGGCCAAGATTCGGAGCAGGGTTGTGATGATGATGAAAGATATGTGTGTCGCCCAACTGGTCAGAAGACATAAAGGCAGGGAAGAAAAAGGTAAAATGTGACATGTGAAGTAACACTGATCAGAAAGCTTAACGTATGTTAGAAGTCTTTGGACATATTAATGATATACATAAAAAACAACAAAAATGAACTTAAAAAATTGGTTCGTATAGAGTCTTGGAAGACCTACCGAGAAATGCTAAAAGATGACATTTCAACAATGACTGAAGAAGAGTTAGAAGAAGCCCACTATGCACTTTTTCTTGAACTGAAAGATGAACTGGGCCTAACTAAATTTTTAATGATTTTCTAATGATGATTATGTATTGTATTTTATTTTAAGTTTGTGTTGTCTTTAATTTTAATTTGTACTTGTTTTTTATTTTTATGTACTCGATTTCTCTTTTGTGTTTAATTTGA